GTTTAAAGTATGGTTTCTTAACATAAATATAATTTCGTGACCAAACACACTTGTAACATTATATTTACAAGCTAGTTATGATTAGCATGGAATAAACTATCACTGTAACTACTGAGGAGCTCTAGTGGCACAGTGGCTGAGAGCCCGGCTGCTAACCAAAGGTTGGCAGTTCGAATCCACCACCTGCTCTTTGGAAAACCTACGGGGCAGTTCAACACTGTCCTATGGAGCGCTATGAGTCGGAATCAACTCAGTAGCAACTAGTTTGGTTTGGTTTTGGTAACTACTGAGCATGTATTTGATTATTTAGGAAAGAAAGCCTTCAATAGATACAGATGTTATGCCTTCTTGTTACGGATACATAAAACGAAAACCAAACCCATTGCCATCGAGTGGATTCTGACTCACAGTGACCTATAGGACAGAGCAGAACTGCCCCTTAGAGTTTCCAAGGAGCACCTAGTGGATTCAAACTGCTGACCTTTTGGTTAGCAGCCATAGCACTTAACCACTATGCCACCAGTGTTTCCTACAGATATATAGGAATTACCTATTTCCATTGTTGTTCAATACGCATTGTATACGTAGCATATATAGACTATTGTATGTCATTACATATTCTTTCTAATTTAGATGTGAGTTTTAAATCATTCATTAAATACTGTATCCTTTTACTTATTATATTAATGAGAATATATTTCCAAAAGTAAAATTTCTATTGCTTACTTTTCCTGCTGTGCTGCTGGTGCTCATTTTGTTTCTGTCTTCTGTGCAGCTCAGGAGACCAGTGAATCCTTGCTGAGTTCTCCCTGCTCGAGTGCACAAGCAGATATAGTGTGCCAATATTCTGTTTGCCCAAGTAACGACCAATTCTACACGTGTGATCTGGGATCTTTAAGCCACACCCAAGTCCAATCAGAAGCAAAGGGGAATGAACCAATATTCAAAACCTGACATTGTTTTCAATATGCCAATTTCAGATAACACCTTGATTTCATTAAGTTAAATATTTCTCTACACATCAATTTTAATCTCTCTCTTTTTCCTGGATTTCATGTTGAAACATGAAAGTCTCTTTAGATTGGTGTGTTCATAGAGTGATGGGGTATCAGAAATAATTTGAATTCTTAATAAATTGGTGGCTTATTTATGAGGCATGAAATTGCAGGAATTGAATGGCCACCATTTATTGAGCACCTATCATGTTTCCAGAACTCTGCTAGGAGTTTTTCATATATTACCACATACAGTCCTCAGAACAACCCTGAAAGGAAGCCACTATTATTATGCCCATTTTATAGATGAAGTAAGAGAAGCTCAGAGATTCTAGATCCCTTAATGTTCTTTCTTAGCAATGTTGATTTCAATAACAAAAATGTGCTCAGGCAGTGTTAATAAGAGATTTATGGTACGACTATAACAGGCAACCGCATAAGCTATCAAAAGACAAGAAGTGGATGGTGGCAGGATAAAACATGCCTTGAAAACGACTGGAACATCAAAGACTAACTAGCTATCATATCTTTGTCTCTCTCTCTCTGTCTCTCTTTCTTTAGTGTTCATGTATGTGCCCACTCTCTTACTCTCTTTTTCTCTGAAAAAACCTTGGCCCCAGTTCTTCTATCTTTTAACTAGAATCTCTCTGTAAATCAGTTCAGATTTCACAGGAAGAAGTTAATATTGGACTGGACTGGGTCAAGTGATCAGCCATGAAACAATGAGTTAAATCCAGAGGATTGAGGTTATTCACGTGTAGAGAGCCACACCATTTCCAATGCTCTCATGAAGCTGGTAAATAAGTGGCAGTGGCAGCATTCCAAGCCACTGTTTGATTCAGAAGCTCATATTCTTTCCATTACTGTAGAAAGGGATGAGGGCAGAACAGAGTTTGAGTAAGACATTCAGCTGTCTCTTTTACCCGTAAAGGCAGCTCTTACATTTTAGAGGACCTAAGAAAGAATGCTGTCACTCGCAAGAGCTCAAAAATCACCCAGCCCAAATCCCTCATTTTACTGGCCAAAAGACTTGGCAAAGGAATGTGGTTAATATTTACCTAACAGATATTTGGAAGGGAAAAAGATGTAAGCATTCACGTGTGGGCACAAATAGTCTAATAGCTTTCAAAAATTACAGGGTTGAGGCAGGGTAAAGAGGAAGCTAATAACAGGGAAAAATTTAAGTTGCTCAAAAAACCCAAAACACCAACCCTATTGCCGTCGAGTCGATTCCGACTCATAGTGACACTATAGAACAGAGTAGAACTGCCCCATAGAGTTTCCAAGGAGCGCCTGGTGGATTTGAAGTGCGACATTGTGGTTAACAGCCAAGCACTTAACCACTGAGCCACCAGGGCTCCGAGATGCTCAGGCTTTATGTTTAATCTCCCCAAATCCAATACCATAAATCAATATTTACTTAACAGTTTACTTTGATAATGAAGCCCAAGTTGATGAGAGAGTTAAAGTTATCTTCTTTTTCTGAAGGTTAGAAAATATTTTGGTAACCTTTCTCTGACACTAGCGTGAAGAGTATGTATAAAATATGCACAGTATTTGTCCATATAGCTTCAGGTAAAATGTCCTGGGAAATAATCTCAGAGAAGATATAGGCAAAGCTAGCCTTAGAGATGTTCATGACAGTTTTCTCTGTGAGCACCAAATTCAAATAATCTGAATGCTCAACAAAAGTTTTAGTGAAAAATTATAGGTCGGTATGATGAAACGCCATGCAATGACCATTTTTGAGGTGATAGAGAAACATAAAAAATATTATATAATGATTTCAAAATTATATAAAATGACTTGAATTTCACAATTTCAACAACATAAAATTATGTATGAGGGAAAGGTACAATCTAAAAACTTGAAAATAGTTGTTTAAGGATAAAGAATCAATGGTGATTTTCCATAGCATAGTGTTAATTTCATTAATGATCACATTTATATAATAGCTAACTTTTCTTGCTTATTAATGCTTATTAAGTGCTTACATCAGGAGCCCTCGCAGTGAAGAGCTTGAGTGCTTGGCTGCTACTCAAAAGGTTGGCAATCTGAACCCACCAGCTGCACCTTACGGATAAGGAAACTGAGGGTAAGAGAGATTAGGTACATTGCCTGAGATAACCAGACTCTGCACTTTGAATTCACCAGCCACTCCTTGGAAACCCTGTGGGGTAGTTCTACTCTGTCCTATAGGGAAGCTACAGGTTTTCCCCAGAGTTCAAATTCCTAACCAAGGAATAATAACGATAGTAATAACAGCTAACAATTATGTAGCATTTTGTACATAACAAACACTGTTCTAAGTGCTTCACATTTACTGTGTAATTTACCCCTCAAATAGGCCCTATTAAAAACAAAAAAACAAACCTGTTGCCTTCAAGTTGATTCTGACTCATAGCGACCCTCTGCACAGCAGAACAAAATACTGTCCCGTCCTGTGCCATCCTCATAATCATTGCTATGTTTGAGCCCATTGTTGCAGCTACTGTGTCAATCCATCTTGTCAAGGGTCTTCCTCCTTTTCACTGACCCTCTATCTTACCAAGCATGATGTCTTTCTCCAGGGACTGATCCCTCCTGATAACATATCCAAAGTACATGAGTCTCAATCTCCCCATCATCGCTTCCAAGGAGCACTCTGGCTGTACGTTTTCCAAGACAGATTCGTTCATTTTTATGGCAGTCCATGATGTATATTCAGTATTCTTCATCAACACCATAGTTCAAAGGCATCAATTCTTCATCAAAGACAATCTTTTTAACAAATGGTGCTGGCAAAACTAGATGAAACATGAAAAATGAAACAGGACCCAGACCTTACACGGTACACAAAAATTAATACAAAATGGATCAAAGACCTAAATATAAAACAAAAATCTATAAAGATTATGGAAGAAACAATAGAATTAATGCTAAGGGTCCTAATATATGGCATAAATAGGATACAAACTATAATTAACAATACACAAACACTAGTAGATAAGCTAGATAACTGGGATCTTCCAAAAATTAAACACTTAAGCTCGTAACTAGATTTCACCAAAAGAGTAAAAAGAGAACATGCAGGCTGGGAAAAAATTTTTGGCTATGACATATCCAACAAAGGTCAAATCTTTAAAATCTATAGGAAAATCCAACACCTCTACTACAAAAAGACAAATAATCCAATTAAAAAATGGGCAAAGAATATGAACAGACACTGCGCACCAAAGAAGACTTTCAGGCGGCTAACAGACACATGAGGAGGTGCTCACGATCACTAGCCATTGGAGAAATGCAAATTAAAACTACAATGAGATACCATCTCACTTCAACATTACTGGCACGAATGAAAAGAAAAAAGAAAAAGAAAATAACAAATGTTGGAGAGGCTGCAGGGAGATTGGAACTCTTAAGCACTGTTGACGGGAATGCAAAATGGTACAACTATTTTGGAAAAAGATATGTGTTTTCTTAAAAAGTTAGAAATATCATACAATTCAGCGATCCCACTCCTAGGAATATATCCAAAAAATATCAACGAGGTGCGGTACCAGGCACAGCATCTAGCTACTGAGTCAGAGTTTACTTGTTTCTTCAAATTCATGTTTTCACCTTTAACCAGCAAAGTTTGAAAGCAGGGTGTGTTTTGGAACCTTATATAAAATAATTTTCTCAAGAATAAAAAAAGAAAAGTTCAGTAAATGTTAGTCATAAGACCAGTTTTTAAAATTTTTCTAAAAGCATTTGTTATTTATCTTTTTTGTTACTCATAGCAATCCTGTTGTTAAGTGCCAGTGAGTCAGTTCTGACTCATAGCTACCCTATGTACAACAGAATGAAACACTGCCCAGTCCTGTGCCACCCTCACAATCATTGTTATGTTTAAGCCCATTGTTGCAGCCACTGTGTCAATCCATCTCATTGAGGGTCTTTCTCTTTTTCACTGACTGTCTACTTTACCAAACATGATGCCTTTCTCTGGGGACTGGCTCCTCCTGATAACATATCCAAAGTACATGAGACGAAGTTTTGCCATCCTTGCTTCTAAGGGATGTTCTGACTGTACTTCTTCCAGGACAGATTTGTTCATGCTTCTCAAAGTCTGTAGTATATTTAATATTCTTTGCCAACACCATTCAAATACATCAATTCTCTTTCAGTCTTCCTTATTTATATGAGGCGATTGAAAATACCATGGCTTGGGTCAGGCTCACCTTAGTCCTTAAAGTGACACGTTTACTTTTTAACACTTTAAAGAGGTCTTTTGAAGCCGATTTGTCCAATGCAATCTGTCATTTGATTTTTTTTTAATTATTATTATTTTTTATTGTACTTCAGGTGAAGGCGTACAGAACAAATAGTTTCTCATGAAACAGTAGTACACATATTTTTTATGACGTTGGTTAACAACCCCATGACATATCAACCCTCTCACTTCTTGACCTTTTTCTTTTTTTGGTGAAAATATACATAGCCAAAGATACACCATTTCAAAAATTTCTACATGCACAGTTCAGTGACATCGACTACGCTCCCAATTGTGCTGCCATTCTCACTTTAGATGAAGGCTTACAGAACAAAATAGTTTCTCATTTAACGTTTAGTACTCATGTTGCCCTGTGACAATGGTTAACAACCTCACAACACATCAACACTATCCTTACTCAACCTTGGGTTCCCTATCACCAGCTT